CGGCAAGGAACCAGGTGTCGGGGACTGCCAGCGCATACCAGGCTGCGATGGCCATGGTTTGCTGATACTTCTAGACCTTTCGACCTAGAAGGACGAAACGTGGTCCTTCATTTGGCCTGAGCAGTCACCCGTCGAGGTTGGGTAACCAAACGGTCGTCGGCTGAGAGGCACTATCCATAAAGTATATTCACTCATCATATACGTGAGAGTGTCACAGATCGCCTGAGGATGGCCGTGACAACCTGGCTCTCAGCCCACTTGGTTATGATACGGTCAACACAGGCACGGAGATTTAAACTCCGACTACCACTTCAAAATTGTTAAATGATCGGAGTTCGGCTATGAGATGTTGCCGTCTTTTTCTCTCTCCCGCAAATGAGTTAAACACTCGTAAACGGGTTTCTCCAACTTCAGATATTTGAAAGTGTTTTTTCACAATAAGTCATTCCAAAATCAGAATCTCGGCATAAATCACATGACAAACTGACCGAATCGAGACATACAAGTTTCTATGGAGGTGGGATATTCACATAAGTACACTGAACCAAGTGGGTCGGGGTTTGACTTTAAGACATGTGATTTTGCAGAATAAATTTTTGGGGATGTTTTACTGACGAAGCCGCGGATACGAAAAGTGTCTTGTTGGGATAGATTCAAACTGCCGCCTACCGTTAGCATATGCATCATCTCGGTTTAGAGGCCACGTACCAATTTCTCAAGTGTAAATAGAAGCGAGCGCAGCGAATGTCGAAGGAATGACGAGATATAATTTGCACACATCGGTGTAGGTTTCGGCCAACTGCAGAATCATTCGTTAGGCAAGGTTGATTAGATAACGGTTCATGTACATGACACATAAGTCTAGAGGCGGGCTGGATAACCAGTCTCGAAAACTTACACGATAAAAGACGTTTTGTTCCCAGAGAATCTCACCTATTTCTTATTAAAGTCCTTGGGATGCCTGTTTTAGAATACATGCATATACTGACAGTTCGGCCGTCGTTGCCGACGATATCCATCGCGTGCTCCACAGCAGAGTGATAGCAGGAACGGTGACTTGCGAGTGAATTCGTTTATAGCCACAGAAGATTTGAGCTGAATTTACCGCTCCCTCCTCCTCCTCCTCCTCCTCCTCCTCCTCCTCCACCTACTCCTGTTGTATCAGTATCAGTATCAGTTTATTAAGGGAAATATAGGCGAGCGCATTTGAACTGCCTAGTGTTTACAAGTCGTCGGAGAAAAACATTGATAAGTGGGAATGTGGAAAAGGGATTGTGTACATAATCGCAGAAAGCTGACAGCTATGCGAAAAAGTGTAATCATTAAAGACTACTTACTAATTACAAGTAGTATAAGTTGTACCAGGCTATGTGAGTGGGTGTGTGCATGGTAATGAGGAACCTAGGTGCGCGTCAAGTCTTCACTTGAAGGAATTCACACAGGAGGAGATTACAGCATCGGCAGACAGGGCATTCCAAGCTGCAACCACTCTATTACTGAAAAAGAACTTTCGTCAATTGACTCTTGATTTTCCTGCGTGTAGTTTTAGGGGATGACCGCGCAAATTGGGCGTGTTAGCTTGGGTGAAATAATCAGTGGGATCTAAACAACAGTCTAGGACGTTGATAATTCGAAATGTTAGTATAAGGTCACCACGTAATTGCCTGTGGGAAAGGGGAAACAGGTTGAGAGTTGACAGTCTGATTTCGTAGGGTAGTACTCCCAGACCTTGTGTCATTTTGGTCGCCCGTCTCTAGACCTTCTCCAAGACGGTATAATCCTTGGCGGTCCAAGGTCTCCACGCCTGTATGGCGTATTCTAGATGGGGTCGCACGTAGGTGCCAAATATTTTGGAAAAGCAGTCAGGGTCAAATCCCATAAATGCTCGCCTAATGAGTTGCAATGTGGCCGCAGCCGACTTTGCTGCCTTCGCGCAGTGCAGTGTTGGTTTTAGTGCAGATGCAATCCATACACCCAGGTCCTTCTCACTGTCAACCTGTTGCAGTGGTGTGTCGTGTAGAAAGTAAGTTCTGCGGCTGGGAGCTCTGAAGCTGCCGAGTTGAAGAAAGTTGAACTTGCTTATATTCAAGGGCATAAGCCAGCGCTTTGATCAGTCTTCGAGCCTACTCAGGTTTGCTTGCAGGTGGTCTGCGTCTGCCGCATTGTGAACAACTTTCCACAATTTTATGTCGTCGGCAAACAGGATGACATCACAGTCCAGGTCCTTGACGCAGTCATTTACGAAAAGGAGGGATAGTGTGAGACCTAAGACTGAGCCCTGTGGGACGCCACTCACCACGCTTACATCTGAGGACTGTTGACGCCCGACCTGCACTCTTTGGGACCGTCCAGCCAAAAAGCTCTGGATCCATACAAGAAGGCGTCCACGAATCCCAGCGTTGCGCAGTTTTTACATGAGATGTTGGTGAGGAATGCTGTCGAAAGCCTTTTTGAATTCGACGTAGATGGCGTGCACCACACTACCTTCATCGCGTGCTTTGTTCCGGCGTTCGAGCGTAAAGAGCAGATTCGTGAGGCAGGACCTACCACTTCGAAAGCCGTGTTGGACATCGGAGAGGAGGCGGTGCTGCTCGAGGAACTACATCAAGGCCTTCGTCATGATCTTCTTCATGATTATGTAACAGATGGAAGTAAGACTCACTGGCCTGTAGTTATTTACAGACGCACGACTTCCACCCTTAAAAAGCGGAGTGATGGTAGCGGACTTCCAGTCAGAGGGTAAGTATCCAGTAACAAATGACGTTTGGAAGATCAAGGCTAGCGGTTTAGACATTTCGGGGGGTAGCTCCTTCAGCAGCTTGGCCGGAATTGCATCAGGGCCTGGGGAGATCGATTCTTTTAGGCTTAGTAACTCATTCCGAACAATTGCTTCGGTGAAGAAGACGGCTTCGAGGGTATGCGTTTCTTCGTCTTCATAAGCGGGTGAGAAAAAATCAGGTTCACTTGTCACGACTGACCGGAAGAACTGAGAGAGACGTTCAGCCTTATCCTTGTCATCGGAGATTTCCGCACCCCTAGCCGTTCGCAGCAGTGGGATGGGATCTTTGTTCCGTGTGCGCTGTCTTATGCAGCTACAAAGGATTTTGGTATTCACCATGGCACGGTTCCAAAGATTATTTTCAAAGGCTTTCCGATCCCTGGCGATGAGAATTTTGACCCGATTTCTCTGCAACTTATAATTGCTTAGGGATTCTGGCGTCCGGTCCGTCAGAGATCTTTTCCATAACTTCCTCTTCTTGTTAACTTCCTTCTTTAAGGACGGAGTCAACCAGCGGGGTCTATTTGTTAGTCTTCTGCGCATGATTGGGCAGTGGTTGGAGATGAGGTTGTGGGCTAACTCTTTGAACTGACACGAAGCCTCTTCGACATCGCCGGAGAAAGTGGATCCCCAGTCGATAGGACTAAGATCCTTTTTCATCTGTTCGAAATCGCCCCGCCAAATATTAGGTCGGGAATCGGGCGGTTGTGCAGGCAGGGAGAATAAGGTGTATTCCCACATGAGAACTGCATGGTCGCTCTGACCCAACGGAGGGAGGCAATTCACAACGTCGATTTTGTCAGACGACTTGGTGAACACAAGATCGAGGCAGTTCATTTGTTGGCCCTCTCGAACTCTCGTTGGAAAGTTTACGTGTTGGGTGAGAAGCAGGTTGTCGGAGGTACGCAGTAGATGCTGGTCAAATGCTGCTTCAGAGCACTCGGCTGAAGCCGAGCTCCAGTTTATGTGAGATGCATTAAAATCCCCAACGACAAAGTCAAGAAGAACGAAGACGGGGAGGCCTCATGTGACTGGCACACCGAATACCTGCACTTAGGCGTACAACGACACCCTCTGGTTCAGTACATACCAACAAAACAGGAGGGTTTGGATTCAAATAAGTTGGAGTGCCATAGAGGCTGCATTAAGAAGGAACCATTGCGGCCTGACTCTCAGTCTGTCAACCGACTACTCCAAACAAACACACACATGGCTGACTGCGAAGTCCAAGTTATCCAGTCAGATGTCAGCCTTCCAACCATGGCTTTTAGCTCGCCGTGATAGCTTCGAGCACGTCAAAATGTTTGCAACGAGGATAGTGCGCCAGGACGTCAACTTCACTCTGTCTCTCTGCCTCCCTTCCTATCTTCTACTACTGTCCGACCCGGTTAGATTTCCGATGCAGGGAGCCTGCGGATTGACTGACAGAGTAAGAGAGCCCGTCGCACGTCAGGACAACATATACAAGGGGGAGTCGGCTCTGGTTTCGGATGCGTGAGAGATTTCCATTGAGAAGGAGACACCGTAGTCTACCTCTCTGGCCACCAGTTGGTCGCTCAACACAAACACACAACTGAGCTGCCTGTGTGGTCATAGTTGAGGCATCAGCTGGCAAACTTCCAAGCCACGGCTTTTAGCGCATCGTGATATGTTCAAACGGGTCAGACAGTGAGGAATTCTACACTGAGGGTCGACCTGTTCCGTTCTACCCGGCAAACCAACTGATATTAAGAGTGAACCGAGAACAGTTCGTTCGCGTGTCACACACTCATCTTGGCACCCCATTCGCGTTCATTAAGATTTTATACACAAGCGGGTAGACCGCTCGAATATCACATTTAATAGGCCAGCCGCTTGGAGGGAGGAGCCGAAAAGCGCACTTTTAACGTGTGTGAGATGTTCCGGTGGTGTGGGTTGTTGGAGGTGTTGGTCTGTGGCGCATGGGGAAAGTAGGGAATTCGTATGTGACCTACTAGGCTCATGCGGCGAATGAATGGAAGTGGGCAGTGAGGGCGCATGTGGCGCGTGTATGTGGAGCTCCAGGCACTGGTTGGCCATCCTCTGTGTAATGGATCCGCAAGTGACCGACCAGGCCGATTCATGAGGCGAGCATGCAGTGACACTGCGAGCAGGATAGGTTGAGGGACGCTGGGTCAGTTATCATTGTGATGGAAAGCGGACTGTACCGGAGATGAGAACGATGGCTGACGTGTAAAGTGTGTTAGGCATGTCGATACTGCGATGAATTTCGCTGTTGTGGATACAGATGTGACCCAATAGGCCCATGCGGTTTGCGGATGTGCGCGAACAGTATGCGGTGAGTGTACGTGAGGGCTCCCGGCGCTAGTGCTTCGGTCGCCGCGCGGTAGATTCCCATGCGGCCGACCAGGCCAATGCGTGGACAGGTTAAGTCTGAGCCCGCATCACGGTAAATGGGCGTGGTAATTGTGAAGGTGGAAGTTGACGGAATGAAGAGAGATTTTTGGCAGGTAGCAGGCGTGGAGGCTATGGTCGTCGGCGTCACAGCGGAGGTGCTTGTGGGGATGATGGAGATGGAGGTGATCGGCGGCGGCGGCGGCGGTGATGACGGTGTTTGTTGTCGTTGACGCCTTGGGGGTTAGAGCAAGGCGATCGGGAGACAGCAGTTGGGGTTGTCAGGTTATCGATGTATTGGTGGAAGTATAGTTACGTTTGTAAAGAATTGCCGACATATTCCAGTGGAAACTGATAAGCCTACTTGTAACGCCTTAGCAGCAGAGCTGACCATAGGGACAGCGAGTTCTCAAAGCCTTGATATCTTAGCGGTGTATCGACCATAGCGAAATGCCTCTGAAATTGATTTCCTACTGCCGGATGAGCTCAAATTGTTTGATAAACGACCGAATACTCTCATCATCGACACTCTAATGCACCTTAAGACGACTGACTCTCGACCCCCTCCGCCTGTACTGAAACAGTATTCCACCAGCAGTTACTGCCTACTACTCGCAGTTTGCGTCTTTCCCAAAACGTCATGTTTCCGATGAGAGTTCGCATGAGCCAACAGCTAAGGTTAAATGTGATAAACCATGGGTCGATCTACAGTAAACGTTTCTCAACTGAGACTATGATAGTGTAAATGAAGCAGCATGTCTACCGCAGGTCTGATGAAACAACAAATATGAAGGGCTATTACCTAATCAAATTGCTACAGTAGGTATTCTTTCTAGACAACAAATCTTCGGGTGCCCTCTCCCGATTGTTACCATTGTTATCCATTGACGTTGTAAATCGCCTCCCCCATTAGGTCAGAGCGACGATGTATTTCTCACATGAGAATGCGTCCTATTCCATTTGCCTGCCCAACCATTTGATCCCGACCCAATAGTTGGCATGGCGATTTCGATCAGATGAATAACGATCTGGACATCCAGACTCTCCAGCGATATCGAGGAGGTTTGGGATCAGTTCAGAGAGTAAGTCCACAATATCATCTCCAAGCACTGCCCAGTCATGTGAAGAAGGCTGACGAACAGACCCCGCTGGTTTTCTCCACCCTTAAAGAAGAGGAAACTGTGGAAAAGACCGCTCACTAATAGGATGTCTGAACCCCTCAACGGTTACAAGTTGCAGAAAAAGCTGCTCAAAATTCTCCTCGCCAGAGTTCGATGGGTCTTCAAAAAGGATCATTTGAACAGTGCAACGGCAAGGGCCTTTGCAGTTATCTAAAGCAGTGTACGCAAAAAAGGACCCTATTCAACGCTGAGAACTGTCGGGGTGCAAAAAATTTCAGAAGACAAGGATAAGGCTGAAAATTTTGCCCAGTTATTTTGGTCCGTCATGGAGACGGAGAGAGAGAGAGCCCAACTTTTTTTCACCCACTGATGAAAGCGAGGAAAGCTCTACTATTGAAACGGTCCTATTCACCGAAGCAATCGTTCAGGAGGAATTCCTAAACTTGAACTAGCCGCCTCCCCACGTTTCGATGCAGTACCGGCCAAACGTCCCGTCCTGCGTATCGACCCTGAAACTGATGTCCTGCTGCTGAAGGCGTTCAAATTTGTTACGCCGCCGAATATTATTGTCATTGTGGACTTTAATATACCTCATATCGACGAAAAATGAACTTCGTTTTATTGACTGCGCATCCAAAATCTCCGGGAATATTGACAAGGTTTGGAGGCCGTTCAAAGTGCTAGTCCACCATCTCCTCCCCAACCACTGCTCAATCCTGCAAAAAAGACTAACGGAGAGGCCTTGCTGGCTGACAGCATACTAATAGAAAGAATTCGACAAGAAAAGACAACTGTTCAAAATATCCTTCACTGATAGGACACCTAAATCACTCAACATTTACAAGCTGCAAATAAACCGGATCAAAAGTCTCATCGTCACAATGCGGTAGATCCTCAAAAAGGGGTCTTTTGAACTGCGCAACGGTTGGTCCCAAAATCCTCTACTGTTGTAAAAGACACTGTGCGCAGAATTAGGACCCTGCCTCACTGTTGTGAACTGCCGAATGTGAGGAAATCTCGGAGAGGGATAAAAGCCCGGATATCTCTTTGAGTTCTTCCGCCCCGTCTTTACAGGATAGACCGGTCTTTTTCCACCCACTCATGACGACGGGGAAAATACCTAGCATCGAACAGTTCCCTTCATGGAAGAAACCAGTCACAAATCGTTGCTGAACTTGAGAGAGTCAACTTCTCTTGGCCCCTATGAAATCCTTGCCAAGCTGTTGAGGGAGCTAGCTTCTAAAATGACTAAATCGCTCCCGGGACTAGGAGTCCGCAATCATCACATGTTGTTTAAAAATGAAAGTCAAAAAATCTTCAAATAACTACATGCCAGTGGATCTTACCTGCACTTTTTGCAAAATCATGGAGAAAATAATTGAGAAAGCGTTGAAATGGTTTATCGAAGAGAATCCCCGCATAACAGATGCATTACATGGATTTCGCAATGGCACTGTCCTGTCCTGTTTTTACTTGAACGCTGGGCCAAGGCACGTCAGGAAGGCAATCTGGTACATGCCAATTACATCGACTTCAACAAAGCCCTTGACAGCGTAGATCGTCAGCGCATCTTGCACAAACGACTCAACGTCGGAGTTCGCAGAAGCATCATTGTATATATTCATAACTTCCTGACTAGACGGTCCCGAAGAGTGCAAATCGAGAGTCAGCAGACCTCAGAGCGGCGTCCAACAGGACTCAGTTTTAGGCGGAACTTTATTCATTGCTTTCATCGATCAATACGTCAGTAACCTTGAATGTAGTATCATCTCGTTTGCCGCCGGCACAACGTTGTTTACAATGCGGCAGAAGGAAATCATCTAAAAATGAACTTCAGGTGACTCGAGGCCTAATCGAAGCGCTGACTTATGCCTTCAATGTAAGTTAATGTAACCCTTTTCAAAAAGGCAGCTGCACGGTTTCCAGCCAGAGGATTAACCATCTAAACAGCACATCACCGCAACCATTTTGTAGCCAGAAGAACTTGAGTGTGTAGATTACACCAGCAGCAAGGAGGCCAAGTAGGCCATGTCGATATTGCAAAGGTACCTGTGTGGTCAGTACGGTAACTCATTACGCAAAGCCGGGATTGGTGAACGCAAGTTATCCTTCAGTATCAGAGTGATTATAACTTGGAACGCTCTGTCCACTGACCTCGTTCTCTTTTCAAGCTTAAATTCTCGTAAAGCGTAGCTTGGCGCGCGTTGCGCGCCTCACTCACCAATCACATTCACACCCATGTCCCCCACAGCGAGTCATTTAAATGATATATAACCATACTACTTACAATGGTTAAGTACAGGTAGGTGTCTATATTTTTTCGTCTGCAGATAGTTACCTGTTTGTGGCATGCAGTTGCGTATTGATGCTTTTTTGTTAAACATTTTTGAAACCGAAGGGGAGTTCAAAGTTGCTCACTTATTCTTCCCATAATGGAACCGAACTGAACTTTAAATTTGTGACCCATGCATTCGCAAGCCCTGGGCACAGTATATTATGATCTAGGCACACTCCGTCACAGTGGGGAATTATTAGTACCGTCAAAATGGAATCCATAAAGTGGTGAAGATAAACTGTTGTTAAGGTACACAATTAAGATTTTCTTGTCAAAGTTCTTTCCAAAGACCCTTCGAAGTAAATTATCATCTCCCCTGCACAAATCTCATCTGATCGTACATTCAGTGCTGCTCGAAAGTTCGGCCAACTAGCCTTGTTTGCAGCATCGGAATTTCGAAAAAATCTGGCGCCAAGCTACAAAGCCTGTAATCTAATACCGGTAGCTAGTCTGGAAGTGTCTGACGCTCCAACCCTTGCCTCACACTGCTCTGCGAAGCACCACTTTTAGGTGACTTTGAGTCATTTCAGTCGAAGTCAACAGGATACCGGCCCATGGATCTAGTAGTTTAACTTCGAAATCAAATAGATAATGGCCAAATGGCCAGGATTAAAATCTCTCAGAACACTATATTTGATCAATGAACTGTCATCTGCACCATTTTTAAGCAAAACAAACTGCCTCTATGAATTCCGTATGCGGCCTTGATTAGGACACACTGGCCAACATTCTGGTTTTGAAACACCAACACTTCCCAATTACCCAAAAATCAGGACCCTTTATTATGCATTAGTACGCAGCCCTAGATTTCAAGCATGCCGTAGTCAAAAGCTTATGAAACAAGATTGTGTTGAAAACGTTGCTGCACTTGTGAACTCATTTGGAGAAATTTAACATGGTCTCTCTCTCGCTTGGGTGCAGATGGACCTTTGGATGAATTTATGACAATCAACTCTAGAGGAAATCGATCGCTTCAAGCGCTGCACTTCTTCGTATTTACTTGGAGTTTGGCATTTGCCGACCCGGCAAGAGAGAGTTGAAACCACTCATTATGTTGCCAAGATGTGTACGTCCGACAGACCGGCCCGCAGTACTTTTTGGTGCCTATGCGAATTATGGACCTGTGGATGTAGGTAGCGCCAATAAAGTGAAATGCCATTTATGTGGTTCAAGCAATTGCATCACTATGGATACCTTATACCTGCGGTCGTGTCTTCTGAGTAAAGTTGGAACAGGTAGAACCTGAGAAACTGCAGACAAATACTACCAAATTGCAACGACAGTGTTCAATTGCTAGTAAGAATTTATTTAATGGTGACCTATGTGACAATACCTTGGCATTAGGCAGCCATTCTGACAAGTATTCAGATGATTACGTTGATTGATGCCCATTTCTGAACCCAATAAACTCGCGTTCCTCAATAATATGCGAATTCATGAAACGTTCTAGGCGGTGTACGTATGCATGAGAACCCATGATTTCATTGAGGGTTCTAGAGCATTACAGAACTGTATATTGGCATGCTAGTGGTGGTGTATGGTTGTTCAGTTATCCTGCAGCATTTCTGAGTGATCGTGTCACAGAAAAACACACCATATTTGAAGGCAGTCACTCGCATTTCCCCTTATTTGTTTTCCTAGATTTGGGAACATTTCGAATGAGTTTGCCAAGACATCCTTTTAACTATTCGGTGTCGAAAGGGAATTTAGTCTTGCCTTATTGTGTTCCAGCGGCACAAAGTATACAGCTATAAATAAAAGGCACATCAGGAAGTAAATTTTTAGCCGAGGTCAAACATCAGTGATGAATTGGGTGGCGTACTTCACTCAAATTATTCATCACGTAAATATTCAGGTAAGCATGGCAACCTTCTTGTCTATAACAACGTCTTCTTCCCGTTCCTCTGACAGTCCTTTATGACAGTGGTCCAAAGTTTCCTGTAGCATTAGAATTATAAAGAATCTTAGAAGAAAAACGTTTGCATTTTTATTCTGCGGCCGCCCTGCATGTGCAATATACAGGACACTAGGATAGACTTCTGTTTCCCTGAGGCTTTGTCTGAGCAACCCAGCAACTATACGGGGAATCTGATCGTCTAGAATGTTTTCATCACTAAATACCACGCTCCTTGAGGGAAACAGAGTCCATCATCTGGCTCTTGTTTGTCTGTGTTTTTTGTTTTGTTGACTCTCCACAGATTATGGGACTCCTACCCATGGCCATTATAATTTGGGCGATATATGCTGAGGTGGGCTCTTCAGCAGACGCACTGAACACTTGTTTCTAAAAGTCTCTAGAGTGTCGCACGCGGACGGCAGATGCTCAAACTGCGCCAATTCGGCTGGACCAAAGATCAGCACAACTTACTGGATGATATTTTTGCATCAAAATCTCATCATATGAATATCGTTAATGTCAATTCTCACTGGGCAATGGTTCGTGTGATCTTTCTTCAGGGGACTCTTTTGAACGCAATCAGTAATGAATGCGTGTGGATGACATCCATAATTGGCTGGACTCGACGATTTTAAATTTTGCAAGTAATAGGAGACGTAGAGTTGAAAAAAATTTGTACCATTTGCAATGGCGGTGTTTTCAGTGGTATCTAATCGTCCATTTGATCAGATATCAAGTTAGTCACCACTGAAGAAAGTGAAAAACTGATATCTTTAGATTTTTGGGCTACATCAATAGCCATCAGTTCGGTTTTTTCAAATGAACAAAGATCTTTAGCTATCTAGACAATCCCACTTCGGAACCACGCTCTTACTATGCCGGGGTATTAAAAAGGCCACGATTTCCACCTAGAGTGTTCAGGAGATCATTTGTTGATTTCAACGAATAATGCTGTAGGCAGGTTTTTGAGCATACGTTTGGCCCATCCTAAAATACTCCATCTGGACGTGACACGTCGAAATAAAACGATGCAACATCGCTTTAATGAAAGTGCAGCAGTAAGTGATCAAATCGGTCAGTGGATCAATACCCTCGCCAAATGAATGATCCACAAATAGGCTTTAAATATTTTCTACCCTCTTACAAAGGGACTATGCTCTTAACCTGGTACAGATGTTGACTGATACAAACGAAAGTTCTTCTGGTTTTACAAAGTAAATCGAGGATAAATACGTCAGTTGTGACACAAACCCGTTTAGCAGGAACGGTCCCATTCATTTATAATAGTGAAAAAAGTCAAGACCTTCAAAATAAGACTTAGTGCCCATATTCGTATGACGTTGATGTATTACAGGCGGAGTCGTTGGATAAACTTCAATGCACAGAAATTTTAACTTTATCGACCACCCCAAGGGTTCTGTTAGTGCAAGAGGGAGATATTTGCAAAAACTCCAAGCGAAACCATGTATGTAGTTAGAGATGTATGTAGTTAGAGTTTATAACTGACGCCCCAACACAGTCCACACAGTCCGTCCAGTTGTGGATGTATATATCTAAAGTGGCGGACTGATGGGCTGAGAGGCAGGCTTAAGTGGCTCCTTCTTAGCATGGCCTACGACACTCTCACGCAAGTGAGATGTCCGCCGATCAACCCTCATTGTATGAAATCCTGGTGTTTATGTTTGGGGAAGGGGCAGGTCGTGCATGTGGTTCACACAGCCAAGGTCACTAGATATGTCAGCCACCACGCCCACTTCCCGCACCTCTCAACTGACCGGCTCGGGCCTGGGACTGGGAAGGGAGAGTGAGGTGGACGGTTGAGTGCATTTTCTTCACTATAAACAATCCGATGCGCTTGAAGTTCTCATGATGCGCTAAAAGCCGCGGCTTGAAATGTCGCCAACCGACGGGATAACTTGGGCATCGCAGTTGGTCCAGTGTTCTGTTTTTGTGTGGAGCGGCCGGCTGGTGGTATAAGATTCAGGCTGCCATAGCTTCTTCATCCTAGTGTGGCCTTTATGGCTCTCCCACTCAGTGGGGTCCGAGCCAGATTTAACCGCACGCCTACGTGCGACTCCGGCTGTGCCAGCGAGTCTTTGTTGTTGGTTAAAATCCTTGTCATTTGGTGTGTGGATCAGGGGGTGTGGAGTAGGGCCCTAATATGCAGGCTCGGTCAAATCATTCACTTGTGCACTCAGACGTCTCAGCTCTTCTTGATTCTGTCTTGGCACCGGGGCCAGGTCCAGAGGTAGAATGAGGGAGTGCGGTAGATGCTGTGCAAATTTGCATTAACTATAAATTGAATCACGCACAAGTCACGATCCCTGCACTCACCTTGCTGTGGAGCACACGGTGGACATCGTCGGTAACAACGGTTGAACTGTCATGTATGC